ATTGGTTGCTTGCGCGACTCCTGGCAGAAGGGGCCTCCACTGCGGAGGGCTCCAGAGAGCCCCTCGAGGTGGTGTTTTGGCCTCCTCTTCCACGCTCGTGCGGCGACTTTAACGTAAACGTAAGTAGAGGGTGCGCGGGTTGAGAAGATGATTCGTAGGATTGGCACTGGAGTGAGGAATGACAGAGGCGAGCGTCTACTCGAGTTCGCAGCCAGAAAAAATACGAGAATAATGGAAACAACCGCTTTCTAAAAAGAAGGAATCTGGAGTAGCCCACATTGACAAATGATGAATGCTACTGACGTGATTCTAATAGACAAACCACAGATTGTATGTATGTTGAACTTCTTTCGCACCGTACGGAGCCAATTGCGCAATATGGAAATTGTTAAAGATGCCTGTGTCCGCAGAATTAACACGGGGAGAAATCGCAGCCTGGTACAATGTCATTACAGGTGTATACCTCCACATTTGTGTTTGTTTGTATACACGTAAGTATATTTTCACACATGTCACTTTTAAATGTACCTTCAACACATAGTTTAAATTTTTTTGCACAGTGCAAACTGTGTCACGCGTTTCCGACAGCAGAGAGAGAGAGAGACGAAGACGGATGAGAGGGCCCGCTAATGAGAGTTTATGGAACAAGCAGGAATTATGGGGCTGGCGGTTAACGTGGCGGAGGCACGGCGTAGGGTGGCGAGTGAGCTTGCCAAACGGTGGTGCCAGCGAGGTCGATACACCAATAGGAGGAGCAAGATTGGAACGTGTGGACTCCTCACTGATTCCTAGAGCAGGAGGCAATAATCAACAACCGACGTGTGAGGTCGGGATGGAGGACAGAGGGGAGGGGGTGGCAAGAGGAGATGAATAAATTGATTCGAATGGCAAAGGAGCCCTCAGCAGCCAGTACGAACTATGGGTGAGTTTGGATTTTAAAAATGAGTATTTTTAAGGACAATTTTGGATCTATTTCGGATTAATATTCATGGTGTACGAACGTCAATTGTCTTCGTGCTAACAAGAGCGACCTCATCCGATGCAACGTGACACCACATTTCCCCTGGAAAAGCGTGGACGTGACTTTTATATCGCTTCCGATTTTGGGCTCAATCCACAGAGAAAAGCCACGCATGCGAGGGAGCAGCACTCTATCCCACACAGAAGGGACAGATGATATCAGTTCACACTTTGCTGTACCGCATTCTGCTGACGAGTAAGGGTATTACACCTAGATGTTAATGTCATTTGTCCGAGCCACCAACCCTCGCTGCCTCCACAGTGCCGGATTACTGGCGAGCGCCAATCGTTACATCTCGCATATTCATACTCAGGGGCGGAGCCAGGATTTTGACTTTGGGGGAGGGCTGACTTCAATATTCTGAGATATCCAGTGTAATGTTTTCCAATGGGCGCCACACATGTATAAAACAAGTTTTATTGGATTTGAACGCGGAGTTTATTAATAGGTCGGAGCCGCTGATGCGGCGAATAAGTTCGATAAGTTCGAAAGGCTGCCGCTCAAGCAGCCTGCAGGGCAGCACGAGGTGGCAGCCTGCAAAGCAGCACACAAGGTGGCATCACAAGGTGGCAGCCTGCAGGGCAGCACACAAGGTGGCATCACAAGGTGGCAGCCTGCAGGGCAGCACGAGGTGGCAGCCTGCAGGGCAGCACACAAGGTGGCAGCCTGCAGGCCAGCACAAGGTGGCAACCTGCAGGGCAGCACAAGGTAGCAGCCTGCAGGCCAGCACAAGGTGGCAACCTGCAGGGCATCACAAGGTGGCAGCCTGCAGGGCAGCACAAGGTGGCAGCCTGCAGGGCAGCACACAAGGTGGCAGCCTGCAGGCCAGCACAAGGTAGCAGCCTGCAGGGCAGCACACAAGGTGGCATCACAAGGTGGCAGCCTGCAGGGCAGCATGAGGTGGCAGCCTGCAGGGCAGCACGAGGTGGCAGCCTGGAGGGCAGCACGAGGTGGCAACCTGCAGGGCAGCACAAGGTGGCAGCCTGCAGGGCAGCACAAGGTGGCAGCCTGCAGCATTTTGCAGCAGCCGGATATCCGGTTATCCCGATTACCGACTTTCCCAAAATTTCAGGGGGGGCTGAGCCCTCCCAGCCCCCCCAGCGACCCCCCCCTGTGGCTCCGCCCCTGTTCATACTGAAGGATTCCTACAGCCAATAATGACGATGGCTCACTAATTGAGTCATGGCTATTAATATAGCTCAGCTTTTTCGAGATTAATTTACCAAGGTTCCATTGAATGCCACGTCTCATCCGTGGCGCTAGTAAAACGCGTGAATAAATCTACCTCCTTTCTGTCTCTCCACATAAAAAATAAAATACGGTTTAATCCATATCCCTAAAGACAGTCCATACACCCTTAAATTAACCAGCAGCCTTCGTTTCAGAAAACTCTGGGCAGGTAGTCATTTTAGGCTGAGTCGACCTAGGCGAGGAGCACAGGACCGGTTCAAATATTCTTTGGCATCGATCACGAGTGGGAATCGAAATCGCGTTTCCGGATTCTTAGCGCAGTGCTCTAACAACTGCACCACCGCTCCCCACAACGTGTCAGAACTACTGGAGGTATGCAATTTTAAATCTAGATTGCAAATTAATTTCTTTAGAACTGATTTTTGCGTTCAGTGTGTTGTCCTGCCCCCGCACCGCCGATGAATACGGTTGGCTACATACGGTGCGAAATAAGTTCAACATACACACACGTGGATGTGTGTGTGTGCAGACGTGGAGCGGTGGTGTAGCGGTTAGCGCGCTGCGCTACAAACCCGGCATCCAGTTCGATTCCCGTTCACGGCCAACACCAGAAACGATTATCTGAACCGGTCCTGGGCCTCCCCTAGGTCGGCTCAGTCTCAAATGAGTACCTGATGCGGTGTGTTAAGCATCGCTACTGGGCAGACGAAGTCGTTTGGGCGTGGTGCTGGACACTCACTCCCTCGTGCACCGTGCCCGCAAACGGCACTTGCCCCAACAGCCTGTGAAGGCTACACGGGGGGCTTTGTCTTTGCAGACGGGTGCACGGTTCCTGTCGTTGCCTAAATGAGTTAAATATACCCCACGCGTGCGTTCAGAGTGAGTAGGTAAATATATAAATAAATAACCCATCTTACAGCCACGAAGTGTCGCGTTTCCCCGGAGGCAAAAATTATTTCTCGTCGATCCGTGCAAGCGCGCCGCGCGTGTCTCTCTCCGTCTCGGTCTAGAACCCAGCCAGACGAACCCTCTCTCTCGCACGCCTACCCCTCCTCTCACACACCTACCCCTCTCTCTCGCACACCTACCCCTCTCTCACACTCCTACCCCTCTCTCTCTCACACTCCTACCCCTCCTCTCACACTCATACCCCTCCTCTCACACGCCTACCCCTCCTCTCACACTCCTACCCCTCTCTCTCGCACGCCTACCCCTCCTCTCACACTCCTACCCCTCTCTCACTCCTACCTCTCCTCTCACACGCCTACCCCTCCTCTCACACTCCTACCCCTCTCTCACTCCTACCTCTCACACTCCTACCCCTCTCTCACACTCCTACCCCTCTCTCTCACACGCCTACCCCTCCTCTCACACTCCTACCCCTCCTCTCACACGCCTACCCCTCTCTCACACGCCTACCCCTCGTCTCACACTCCTACCCCTCTCTCTCACGCCTACCCCTCTCTCTCACACGCCTACCCCTCCTCTCACACTCCTACCCCTCTCTCACACCCCTCCTCTCACACGCCTACCCCTCGTCTCACACGCCTACCTCTCATACGCCTACCCCTCCTCTCACACTCCTACCCCTCCTCTCGCCTCAAGCACCATTCCCGTCGTCTGGGCGAGAGAGTGTCTCGTCACTTGTTCGTTCCCACCGTTGGTAGCCGCGATGTGAGTATCGTTGGGCACGTGGAATTACAAATATTAAACGCGTTATCTGTGTTCTCTGTATCTCCCGTTATACATTGTATGGTATTGTTTGTAACACATTAATTATTACACATTTCTTCTTCTTCATTGCTTTCAAAATTGATTTTTTTCCATGTATATTTTAACTTAACACAGTCGGTTCAAATAGATTGGAAAATAATTGTATCGTTAATTTAAGACGTTTTAATACGGTTTGTAAATATACAACCACGGCTCCATGTAGGATGCACAATAGAGTACTTGGTAATGATTTACCTTTCCATAATCAAATATCATTCTGAAGTAAAATGACAAAACATTGCATGCTCATACACATAGACATTCAAGTGTTATATATTTACCCTTTAGCTCTGAGCTTTATAGCTCATCGGATTCCTCCAGTCTACATAAACATTCTGATTAAACACATCACGTGCGCTCGAGTCTGCTGCTGCTACTGCTGCTACTGTCACTGTTACTGCTAATGCTGCTGTCACTGTTACTGCTGCTGCTGCTATTACCACTGCGCTGTTGTTACTGCCGCTACATATTGCTGCCACTAAAGCTGCCGTTACTCATCTGCTGTTACTGCTACTGCAGTAGGAGTTCCTACTGCTGCTACATACATACACTCTACGTGTATGTCTTCTCTTTAGCGCTGAGCTTTGAGCTCATTCATTCAGTGCGCTCTGGTCAGCTTCTACCGCTGCTGCTACCTCTGCAGCAGCAGTAGCAGTTGCTCCTGCTGCTACCGCTGCTGGTCGTGCTACAGCTACTGCTGATATACTACCGCTGCTACTACTACCGCTGCTGCTAGTGCTACCGCTGATAGTGCTACTGCTGATAGTACTACCGCTGATATAATACCGCTGCTGCTAGTACTACCGCTGCTGATAGTACTACTGCTGCTACTACTACCGCTGCTGCTGCTAGTACCACCGCTGATAGTACTACCGCTGCTGCTAGTGCTACCGCTGATATACTACCGCTGCTGCTAGTGTTACCGCTGATAGTACTACCGCTGCTGCTGTTAGTGCTACTGCTGCTAGTACTACCGCTGCTACTACTACCGCTGCTGCTAGTGCTACCGCTGATATACTACTGCTAGTACTACCGCTGATATACTACCGCTGATATACTACCGCTGCTGCTAGTGTTACCGCTGATAGTACTACCGCTGCTGCTGCTAGTGCTACCGCTGCTAGTACTACCGCTGCTACTACTACCGCTGCTGCTAGTGCTACCGCTGATATACTACTGCTAGTACTACCGCTGATATACTACCGCTGATATACTACCGCTGCTGCTGCTAGTGCTACCGCTGATAGTACTACCGCTGATATACTTCCGCTGCTAGTGCTACCGCTGATAGTACTACCGCTGATAGTACTACCGCTGATAGTACTACCGCTGATAGTACTACTGCTGCTACTACTACCGTTGCTGCTGCTAGTACCACCGCTGCTACTACTACCGCTGCTGCTGCTAGTACTACCGCTGCTAGTACCACCACCGCTGCTACTACTACCGCTGCTAGTGCTACCGCTGTTGCTGGAGCTATGAAGTGGCAGGCCGTGCTGGTGTTGCTGGCCGTGGTGCTGGTGTACCTGGTGGCAGGCGCTCTGGTCTTCCAAGCCCTGGAGCAGCCGTTTGAGATGAGCCAACGCTCGTCCATGAACGCCGAGAGGGTGGACTTCCTCGTCAAGCACGAGTGCGTGAGCCGGCACGAGATGATGTCCCTCATCCAGGTGAGGAGGACGAGGAGGAGGAGCAGTGGATGAATGAGGAGATGGAGGCGGGTGACGAGGTGGAATTGGTTCTGTGTTTTGTTGCCGTTCCCCCGCGCCTCCTGATTAGCACGGTTGGCCGCGTACGGTGCGAAAGAAGTTCAACTTACATAACGTACACGCGACTCCACGCCAAGCCGTGTGAGGTCCTGTCGCCTGAGCGCGAGCCTGGTTTGTATTTGCACGGGCGACTGCCTGAGAAGCTCTCTGGGGTCGTTTGTAGGATGTTGTCCGCAAGACGGCCAGGAGATGGCAGTGGGGCAACCGATGATTGAATCTGTCCCGTGCGGCGCTCTCCGTTTGTTACCGGGTCGCGTGCGACGTGTTGGGGGGGGGGCCTCCGGCTTCCCTCGGTTGCGTCGCGCATGAAGCCAAACACCCATTGATGGATTTGGCCACCGAGCATCCGCCATGTAGGATAGCGGGACCCTCCCGACAAAGAGTCGAGAGACTGCGTGAGGCTTTCCTTGGTTAAAGGGTTCGTGATGGAGCAGTGGGTACATTGTTGCTGGTCGTGTCCATCATCAAACCCAGCGAACCGAGTTTGCTCCCCGGCCACGGCTAACACCGATGGCGAGTGATATTTTAATCAGAACTGCTCCCCCCCACCTCTCCCCCAACGCACGTTAACGAGACTGGCGAAGTATGGTCAAACAAACCCCACGACCAACACAGCACGGGGAGGCCTTCATCCAGCAGTGGATCAACTTACGATTACATTTAGTATTCAAATGAGTGATTGGATTGATTTGACTTGCAATACCACCCTCCTGCATTGATATAGCCAGTCGCAGTGAATCACGTGACACGCCCACAGACTTTTCAAATGAATGGGGCTATCACATCATTAACGTTTACTGCCCATAAAAATACATTATTAGGCCTGCCAGTAACGTTTGGCCACCTAAGGTGCTAATGATCTTTGCTCCTGCTGAAGACTGTCTAATCAGTCTTTCCGTCTCCAACGAGTAACTGGAGTCGTACTTTTGGTCAATATGAACGCGAAGTACATTTGGTAATTGCCACCACGACCTCATCCAAAACTAATTTGTATTCATAAAGCTGTGGTACCCGTGGCACGCCGAGCGAGTGGGGAGTAGCGGCAGGGATACAATTGACGTGGAAAGAGCAAGGAACGGGGGGAATTTAAGGGATGTCGGGACAAAGGTACCCAAGATGGACAAAGAGGGTGGCACGGCTGAAGATGAGCAGCAGGGAAAGAGAAGGAGGAGAGCCGCACTAGGAAAGGGGAGGATGAGGGGCAGAAGGAATTTATGTAAGTATGAAAAATAAGAATAGGTTTGATGCTTTCTGGCAATAAAACGAGTGTTTAGATTCTAGATTTGAAGCTTTCGTGACTGCAAGGATTCATACTTTTTGTTGTTTCGGTAAAGTCACGTAGGTAAAATGAAATAGAACAATTAAATCACGACGTTTCGGAGGCAACACAAGCTTCCGTCTTCAGGTGGAACAGTCACAGCAGAGATTCTGCCACCACGACCTCATCCAAAACTACTGTGACTGTTCCACCTGAAGACGGAAGCTTGTGTTGCCTCCGAAACGTCGTGATTTAATTGTTCTATTTTATTTTACCTACGTGACTTTACCGAAAAAAAACCGAGTGTCTAGATGTTCAAACACCAAACATATACCCTTTGCAAGGAATCAAGTTCGCATTAACCACACACACACTAGTTGTGGTGAACATGTAAACAAACATGCTCTGATTATATATTGCATTGTCGTTGAAACTGATTGGCCTACACCAGAGACAGCCTTCATTAGGGCCCAGTCTCACTAGTGTCAGACCACATGTACGTGTGGCTGATACGAACATGATTCCTTGCAAAATGTTTCTATTTGGTCTTGATTCGAAGCTTTCGTGACTGCAGGAATCCATACTCTTTGGTTCTTTCGGTAAAGTAACGTAGATAGAAAATTGTCTCAAAAGTGACAAAATTCTAAATTTTCTATCTACGTGACTCTACCGAAAGAACCAAAGAGTATGTTTCTATTTGGTGTTTGAACATCTTAAGACCTTCTGTTTTATTGCCAGAAAGGGTAAAACATATTCTTATTTTTTCATACTTTGATACTGGAAGAAAAAGCGTCCGTTTTTTTAATTACTTTACGGATGTATGTTTAACTTCTTTCGCACCGTACGTAGCCAACCGTGCTTATCGGCGGTGCGGGGGGAGGGCAACAATCTAAACACAAAAAGCACTTCTAAAGAATTGAATGACCCGGCCAAGATATCTGGAATGAAAGGGGAGAGCAGAGAGGGGTGCTAGAGTGAAGAAAGGAGCAAGCAGAGAAGTGAGCCACAATCTGGAAACTGATTCAATTCATTAGCTCTCACAATCCAAGGCCTTGATATAAAAACCAAAAATATCTAGATATCATCAAAACCATTTCTAAATTGGGAGCAGCTGTGTTGTTGAGATTGCATCAAGAAAACAAAAATACAAATCGGGAGTCAGGCAAGGAGATGCGCTCTCACGAAGGCGAGGACGACGATTTTCTGCAAATTTTTACAGAGAAATGGGAAGCATTCGAGCTAATGGTGGGCAGTGTTACATCCAGGCATGGTCACCGGGTTCAAAGTTCATGGTTAATTTATTAGGTGTAGCCCTGTGAGCCGTTCGGCTCTTGAATCGGGTGCAACCGCAACAAACAAAAACATGAACAAGAAAACATCTTAAAGTGATTGTGTGACTGTGCAAACAGAAAATCCAGGAAAAAAACCCATCAAAATATTCCTGAAATAGCACCGTACACCAACGTTCGCTCTACGGCAGGGTGAAGGGGGCATCAGCGGCTTTGGCCGTGATGACATCTTCATCCCGAACGCATTAACCGTGTCACGTTCGCTCTACGGCGGTCGTCAGTCATTATGGCCGCTCATTTTCTCCGCGTGCGTCGCCGGGAATTTCTGTGTATTAATCCGCGTTAATATCCGCGTCTATTTGTGTCCGCGCACGCCACACGCACGCGCAGCACGTGAAAGATGCCATCAGTGCCGGGGTGGACCCTCTCGCCAACAACACGAACCACAGCAGCAGCCTGTGGGATTTAGGAAGCGCCTTCTTCTTCGCCGGGACGGTGCTCACCACGATAGGTGAAAGCGACTCGGCACGCCTCATTCACAGACACCGATTCCACATTCAAAGACGACGATGACGACAACACAAATCAAAGTATTTCTGAACACGGCCCAGCGGCCGCCACGGCCGTTTTAGCCCCGGTGATTCGAGACGTCATGGTCACTGTTGGTTAGACGTCATGGTCACTGCTGGTTATACGTCATGGTCACTGCTGGTTAGACGTCATGGTCACTGTTGGTTAGACGTCATAGTCACTGCTGGTTAGACGTCATAGTCACTGCTGGTTAGACGTCATAGTCACTGCTGGTTATACGTCATGGTCACTGCTGGTTAGACGTCATGGTCACTGCTGGTTAGACGTCATAGTCACTGTTGGTTAGACGTCATGGTCACTGCTGGTTATACGTCATGGTCACTGCTGGTTAGACGTCATAGTCACTGCTGGTTATACGTCATGGTCACTGCTGGTTAGACGTCATGGTCACTGCTGGTTAGACGTCATAGTCACTGCTGGTTATACGTCATGGTCACTGCTGGTTAGACGTCATGGTCACTGCTGGTTAGACGTCACAGTCACTGCTGGTTAGACGTCATGGTCACTGTTGGTTAGACGTCATAGTCACTGTTGGTTAGACGTCATAGTCACTGCTGGTTAGACGTCATAGTCACTGTTGGTTAGACGTCATGGTCACTGCTGGTTAGACGTCATGGTCACTGCTGGTTAGACGTCATAGTCACTGCTGGTTATACATCATGGTCACTGCTGGTTAGACGTCATGGTCACTGCTGGTTTGACGTCATGGTCACTGCTGGTTAGACGTCATAGTCACTGTTGGTTAGACGTCATGGTCACTGCTGGTTAGACGTCATGGTCACTGCTGGTTAGACGTCATGGTCACTGCTGGTTAGACGTCATGGTCACTGTTGGTTAGACGTCATAGTCACTGCTGGTTAGACGTCATAGTCACTGTTGGTTAGACGTCATGGTCACTGCTGGTTAGACGTCATGGTCACTGCTGGTTAGACGTCATGGTCACTGCTGGTTAGACGTCATAGTCACTGTTGGTTAGACGTCATTGTCACTGCTGGTTAGACGTCATTGTCACTGTTGGTTAGACGTCATAGTCACTGCTGGTTAGACGTCATGGTCACTGCTGGTTAGACGTCATGGTCACTGCAGGTTAGACGTCACAGTCACTGCTGGTTAGACGTCATGGTCACTGCTGGTTAGACGTCATGGTCACTGCTGGTTAGACGTCATAGTCACTGCTGGTTAGACGTCATGGTCACTGCTGGTTAGACGTCATGGTCACTGCTGGTTAGACGTCATAGTCACTGCTGGTTAGACGTCATAGTCACTGTTGGTTAGACGTCATGGTCACTTTCCTGCTTAGACGTCATGGTCACTGTTGGTTAGACGTCATAGTCACTGCTGGTTAGACGTCATAGTCACTGTTGGTTAGACGTCATGGTCACTGTTGGTTAGACGTCATGGTCACTGTTGGTTAGACGTCATGGTCACTGTTGGTTAGACGTCACAGTCACTGCTGGTTAGACGTCATAGTCACTGCTGGTTAGACGTCATGGTCACTGCTGGTTAGACGTCACAGTCACTGTTGGTTAGACGTCATGGTCACTGTTGGTTAGATGTCACAGTCACTGCTGGTTAGACGTCATAGTCACTGCTGGTTAGACGTCATGGTCACTGTTGGTTAGACGTCATAGTCACTGCTGGTTAGACGTCATAGTCACTGCTGGTTAGACGTCATGGTCACTGCTGGTTAGACGTCATGGTCACTGCTGGTTAGACGTCATTGTCACCGCTGGTAAGACGTCATAGTCACTGCTGGTTAGACGTCATGGTCACTGCTGGTTAGACGTCATGGTCACTGTTGGTTAGACGTCATGGTCACTGCTGGTTAGACGTCATGGTCACTGCTGGTTAGACGTCATGGTCACTGTTGGTTAGACGTCATAGTCACTGCTGGTTAGACGTCATTGTCACTGTTGGTTAGACGTCATTGTCACTGTTGGTTAGACGTCATAGTCACTGCTGGTTAGACGTCATGGTCACTGCTGGTTAGACGTCATAGTCACTGTTGGTTAGACGTCATGGTCACTGTTGGTTAGACGTCATTGTCACTGTTGGTTAGACGTCATTGTCACTGTTGGTTAGACGTCATAGTCACTGCTGGTTAGACGTCATGGTCACTGCTGGTTAGACGTCATAGTCACTGTTGGTTAGACGTCATTGTCACTGTTGGTTAGACGTCATTGTCACTGTTGGTTAGACGTCATAGTCACTGCTGGTTAGACGTCATGGTCACTGCTGGTTAGACGTCATAGTCACTGTTGGTTAGACGTCATGGTCACTGTTGGTTAGACGTCATGGTCACTGTTGGTTAGACGTCATGGTCACTGCTGGTTAGACGTCATAGTCACTGTTGGTTAGACGTCATGGTCACTGTTGGTTAGACGTCATTGTCACTGTTGGTTAGACGTCATGGTCACTGTTGGTTAGACGTCATAGTCACTGCTGGTTAGACGTCATAGTCACTGTTGGTTAGACGTCATTGTCACTGTTGGTTATACGTCATGTTCACTGTTGGTTAGACGTCATGATCACTGCTTGGTAGACGTCATAGTCACTGTTGGTTAGACGTCATGGTCACTGCTGGTTAGACGTCATGGTCACTGTTGGTTAGACGTCATAGTCACTGTTGGTTAGACGTCATAGTCACTGTTGGTTAGACGTCATAGTCACTGTTGGTTAGACGTCATAGTCACTGTTGGTTAGACGTCATTGTCACTGCTGGTTAGACGTCATAGTCACTGTTGGTTTGACGTCATTGTCACTGTTGGTTAGACGTCATGGTCACTGCTGGTTAGACGTCATGGTCACTGCTGGTTAGACGTCATTGTCACTGCTGGTTATACGTCATAGTCACTGTTGGTTAGACGTCATTGTCACTGTTGGTTAGACGTCATGGTCACTGCTGGTTAGACGTCATGGTCACTGCTGGTTAGACGTCATGGTCACTGTTGGTTAGACGTCATGGTCACTGTTGGTTAGACGTCATTGTCACTGTTGGTTAGACGTCATGGTCACTGCTGGTTAGACGTCATGATCACTGCTGGTTAGACGTCATGGTCACTGCTGGTTAGACGTCATGGTCACTGCTGGTTAGACGTCATGGTCACTGCTGGTTAGACGTCACAGTCACTGCTGGTTAGACGTCATGGTCACTGCTGGTTAGACGTCACAGTCACTGCTGGTTAGACGTCATGGTCACTGGTTCGAGGCGGTGGCCCAGCAGTGGTGCATTTGCCGCTCGTTGCAGAGGTTAGCGGTTCGAATCCATCGACCGCCCTGGTTATTACTGTGGGTCAACTTTGGCATGTGATTGGAACCCTTGGACCAACAACGTGAGCCCAACTATGACTCAACGTTCCTCGTTTACTCGCCAGCACGCCCTTCTCCACACTTCTCTGCGCACTTTTCTCAACCTAAACTATTAACCTCTCTGTTTTTATTTTACCAGGTAAGGCCCGCTGAGAAATGTAGCTCTTTTTCATAAGCGGCTTGGCCACAAATGATAGCTGAAATTAGGTGGTTTATCGCGCGGAAATTTATCAAATACTCTGAGCGCATTTTTCTAAATGTGGAGGGAAAAACTGGGGGACCCGGAGAGAAAAAAAAAACACAGGACCACGGGGAGAAAATGCAAACTTCAGATACACAGGCTTTAGGTTCGGGATCGAACCCACAACCTCCTGTATACCACGTGGGGTACTTAACCATCTCGGCACCGTGGCCAGATTCTTTTCAGCTGTTTTTACATTTCCTTTGCTAACATTCATGTTTCCGATCCATATTTCACAACAGATAACATGCACTAATAATGTTTTTCTCTCGAGGTGCATTTGCGAGTGGCTTTTCATTATTACGTTCTGCTCTTCGCACACGCCGTGGAGAAATCGATCCTCATACGTAAAACAAAATACACAATCGCGGTTATCCGTTCGGTAGTATTTGTGAACGCACAAAACTCCAGGGATGTGGAGAAAAGCGCTGTCAAACTCACAGGAAGATATTGTTTCTGAGTGCCACGGCCACAGATGAGGACATTTATGACAGTTGCAAACTCTCGCTGGTGTACGGCTTTCGGATAATGTGGAGCCATTGAGTTGCTTTTCCACGTTAAATCTCATCACCACGTTGCGTAAATGCACACATTTCCCCAACAAGGCGTTACGAGCACGTTACGCTTTCTAGAGCTACACTTTAACCCTGGAGAGTGCAATGCCTGCATCCGGTGTGTTTTGCAGAAGCATTTGCTTCCCCCGTGTGTGTACAAAGACATTTGTGTGTACGCGTATTCCCACATGCACAGAGGAAGCCCAGCATCCGGACCACAAATCGTTACCCATTGCCCACAGATAATGAAGGTCAAAATCAGGCTAATTCGAAATTTACCTGAAAGTCACTCAATTAGAGTCAGTTTGTAATCACCAGCGAAACGCCACAGTACTCGAATTGTCAACGTTGTTGGTTTAATCTCCAACACACAACCGGTGTGCCGAAGTAGTAACCAATTCGGCACGTTTTGTTTACATGATAAACATTACTTATATTTACGCAATATAACCCCAAAAAAACCCCTTTATTATGGATAATATTGGTCGCGAAAGCCGAAGTGTTAAACTACTCAATTGGAATTATGCACAGCAATCATCGCCCCCTCCAGGCAGACCAATGCCCCAGGTCACTCTTGCAAGTGCGACTCATCCGTCTCTTGAGTTCTCCCCACCTGGTGAAATAAAATAAACTTGAAAAATGCAACATTAACCTCCCTTTTTGCTAATCCACTGCTAGATGCAGGCCTCCCCATGCTGTGTTGGTCGAGGTGGGGGGGGGGGGGGCGGTGGGGGGTCATTTGACCATACTTCACCATGCTGACCAGTGGTGGTGAGTGAAAAGGGAGAGGTTCAGGATTGGTTCAGACATCACTAACCGCTGATGTTAGCCATCGCCTGGAATCAAACTCAGGTTGCCAGATTTGTGGGTATGTATGTTGAACTTCCTTCGCACCGTACGTAGCCAACCGCGCTCATCGGAGGTGCGATGCGGAGAAAGAACAACAAAACGAAACACAACAATCACTTCTAAGGAAATGAGTTTTAAATCCACATTTAAAAGTACACAGCTCCAGTGGCTTCCTGATATCGCAGTCGCGCGTCTGAAGGTGCGCGATGCGGTGACGACCGTCTTTCTTCGATGGCCAGCCAAGAGCTCGCCACGTAAACCACTCGTGATCCCCTTGCTCCCTGCGCAAAGCTCATAAATCAAACGGATAGCACCAGCGTCCGGACCGCAAGCTGGACCCCCCATGGCACCCACAATTAAATGCACGAATGGTCACGTGGAAGTGGCGCGCGGCGGAACGCTTTTAGCAGTGCCCGCGCTGTCGGCCGAGCACGGCGAAAGATGCCCGCGGTTCACGTTGCTCGAGTTACCCCGTACCGATGATAATGATGATAATGGTGGGCCCGGCATTCGCCGGAGATGACGGACGATGATTCGTGGCGACTGCTTCGCTGTCAACCCATCCGGTTCACCCGTATTCTTGTGCAGGGAAATTGAGTTTTTAAATCCGTACGGTGTGCAGCCGTTCCAATACGGACAATTTTCTTAAAACATTTTGTCTATTTGTTTGTGTTTCTCCCTTGTGATGGGACTTTGTAGGATGAACGTTGAGATTTATAAGGGGCACTGGGTGACCAATGAGGTCTGAATTGGCCTGTAATAAGGTAGGGCACTGATAAGGGGTTGACAGGTATGTCACTGTGCACCCTTCAGATCGCAACACACCATCGCAATGGTACAGCGCGATCCGTTTGTAGATACCCCACTAAAATAATCTGGAGAAATTACCACAGTCCTGTACATATGGGGAGAATAACATTTTATTTAAAAGCATCGACACATCGCCCACCGATCTCAATAACAACGTAAATTACTATATATGTTTTTAACTCCCGCCGGATGTACTTTGTCCAACGTAGCCACTGTGAATTGCTTTACAAGCCTTCCGTGATGATGACACTTACGCCGAGGTCACCGATATCTTGCGGTACACACACACACAAAGATCCCCCAGTGTAGTTTTAACACACTGTTGGGGCAAGTGCTGTTAGCGGGTAGCACCTATGAAGGCCGGCATGGCTCACGAGGGGGTGGGTGGCCAACACCTTTGTCTCCCCAGTGGCAATGTTTACACACCACACACCAGGTACTCATTTTAGGCTGAGTCGACCTTGGGGAGCCCCAGGACCGGTTCAGATAACCATCGCTGGTGTTGGCCGTGAGCGGGAATTGAACACGGGTGGCCGGGTTCGTAGCGCAGCGTAGCGCTAACCGCTAAACTATCGCAGCACGCACACACACACACAAGGTCTTTGATGTGGCCCTTACAAGGGAAAAGATCCAGAGGCGAATGCTGGGGCAATGCGATTGTTCCACCTCCGACCAAAAAATCAATAGACAAACGTCTCCTCCTGTAACAACCACGCGTTACGGCACGAGGACCCAGGTTCAACCGATTTAGCACGTGGGGGTATTCACAACGCTCCACATGGAATCGTAGAAGCGCCGGAATGAGGCCCGTATCTGTAAGTTAATTTCCTCTCTGCGGAAACATCGTAGCGTAATAATAGAATACGGTTCATGTGTGTGGTGTTCTGAGTAGCGCCAGTATGGCGTGTACCATCATAATCCTGGCATATTCTGACTACAGGGTATACGTAAATGGGTCACTCTGTACATCTGTAATACTGCTCGTCTTTAATGCCATAACTAAACGCTGATTGCTCCGCATGTATGCAGAACACGCCGCAGATGTGTTTATCATTCCTCCGACTGTGACATTCTGAATTTATATACGAGCGGCAGTGTGCAGCTGTTACGACTATATTTAAGGATTTCAAAAATAAATCTTAATCTTTATTTTTCATTCGCAGAGTAAAGCGACACGCAGCTGGCAAACAAGCTACACTTTTTCGAGCGCATATCCAAGTCGCGAGCACAAACGATGACTGTCTTTCGTGAACAAGATATTTCCCTTTTTTTATATATATGTGTGTAAGAAAACGGAATTCCTTGGGCGCTTGCACACATTTATACTTCTTCTCTTTTAGAAATCTCAGGATTAATTTTTCACACCTTGTCGTGAAGTGGCAAGCACCGGCGTGACCCCGTCTTGACAAGACGGTGATGTTACTTCGCACAGACTGGAGCCAAACTCCACGGCGGCATCACAAAGTTACACGGCCGACACCCACCCCTGGCGATCGGCGTGTCTCTACCGCTCTATTTTTATATATATTAGAAATATGGGGCACATTCACACTCATTGCCAGATGGCACCGGGGTGGCTCAAGGTGCCCGAGACTGTTTGGGCTTCGGCGAAAATATTTCTCCCTTTCAGGCGCATGTGCCCCCTGACCCCTACTCGCAGACCTCTGCCCTTTCAGCTTCAAATGTCCGCGTGCTCCTTTAAAGCTGACAGCCACACAGCTGCGAGTGACCAGTCTGTCCATGTGTTCACTCACTGTCCCCTGGCTTATGGGGGCCTCTTGCTGCGGTTATTGGGTGGATTTAGATACCAGTGTGTGCCGGCAATGGCACCGTCGAGATCTTGGGTTTTAATTTGGGGTTCGACCGCCCTTGGTTAAACCAGGTTGCCAAGCGGAGCGAGTTGATGGTCTCAGTGCCCTCTCGCCAAACAACGGAGGATCTTCGAGATGGTGAACGAAGTCCTCAAGTTGATCTGGGGATTGGATTGGGAGCCGGTGGAGGGATCGGAGTGCGGTGTTGGGGGTGACTTGCTCACCACCTTTGCTGGCGTGGGTGAGAAATCTGGCGGTAGCGTTTTGAATCGTCGTGGATTCGTGAGGGATTTGGTGAGGCCGTAGTGGACGAGAGGGTTGTAGCAGTCACTGGCGTAGCTTGGGTCACTGGTGCAAGGAATGCAATGGGGCCCCTCGTGTCCCATCACTCCGACTGATACAGGCCGAGGTGCCTTGCTGTCACGTGAGCAGATCACATGACACCCCCGGTGCCATTCGCCCCCCCCCCCCTCCAAGACTAAAGAACTTGACATTGGCGCCCCTTCCGAGTCTGCCAGCACCCAAGACCAATTTCCTATGTTGCCTACGCCTAAAGCTGGAACTGCCAGGGCCCCCGAGCCATCAACGTAGCCTGGCACCTGGACCCCTCCAACCCGTGGGCCCCAGTATAGTTACACCACCTGCACACTCCGCACCTCCGGTGCGAAAGAAGTTCAACACGCATACACTCGATACTTGATCCATTGTTGGCAATGATGACGCTGACGATTTGAGGGCGACAAAAAATGATGACGACGGTTGACGACGGTCACGATCGATGATTTACGATTGCCCGCCGCGTGTTCGCGTCCCTCTGTGTCGTCGTCAGGCTACGGCAACGTCTCGCCCAGCACGGACTGGGGCCGCATCTTCTGCACGGCGTACGCGCTCGTGGGCATCCCCATCTTCGGCTTCCTCCTCGCGGGTGTCGGCGACCAGCTGGGGACTATCTTCGGCAAGGCCATCGGTCGCGTCGAGAAGGTCTTCATGGTGAGCCCCCTCCTGCTGTGACGCTCCTCCATAACGTCCCCCCCTACCCCCCCCCCCCCACCCATAACAACGGCCTTCCCGACTTCCTTGAATCATAATGTTTATTTATACTGGAGGAATCCGATGAGCTATAAAGCTCTTTTTCACAGATGTCCAGTAGTTTTCACAGATGACCGTTTTCCTCGACCGGGAGTAACCGGTCAAGCGTTACACTAATAAACAATAATACTTTTTGTTCTAATTGTACCCTCTCGTATTCTCGGCCCGTGCGTGCACGCGTGGGCATTTGTTCGCCGGCCTCCAGAAGTGGCACGTGAGCGCCACGTGGATCCGGGTGATCTCCACGATCATCTTCATCATGATGGGCTGCGGCCTCTTCGTGGTGCTGCCCACCATCATTTTCATGCACATCGAGCTGTGGACGCCGTTGGAGGCCATCTACTTCGTGGTCATCACGCTCACCACCATCGGTTTCGGAGACTACGTGGCAGGTGAGAACGCGGAGGGATTTTGCTCCTCACCGAACGCTCACCGGGGCCCCGCTGGAAGGCCTCCGTGGGACGGCACGTGGATCGTAGCCGTGGTAACCCTGCATAACGTAGGCACCAGATTTAACCCCCCCCCCCCCCCCGTCCTTGACCTATCGGACCCAGAAGCGAGAAACTCAAAATCACGTACGGTCTCCAAATTGTCTTGTGCCAAAGATAGATAAATGCATGTCTGTGCATTTCATTGAGTATAATTTGAACACATTCACAATGGTATTTGAAATTCATTGCAAAGGTCCAGGATCTGATCAACAGTCTGCACGTGGCCGATTGTAGAGAAACCTTCCCCAAACCCTGCCTGCTCCCGTGGTCGGCCGGCATCTAGTTTCATCATTGTTCTGTCCCCCAGCTGCATGCAACTAGGAGTATCTGATGCATGGTTCTTGAGTAATATCATGGGCACAGCTAAATGGAAGGCCACGATCGCCGGCGTCTTTGAGAAAGGACGTGGCACGTAGAGAAAGGGAGTGTGCATTTCAATTAATCTCAACGAACGTCTTCGTGGGACGGTACGATTAATCTTAATGCACTCGGAGCGAAACGTCCCACATCGTGACAAACAACACGTGTAACTAAACGAAAACGCATCGCAGAGCAAAGCGTAGATTTTTCACTTCGCGAATAGGAAACAAATGTAATGCCCTCCTGTTTCGGGTGAAATAAGGGCGGCGTCTTGCGCAATTAGCGCGTTTTGGGCAAGTGTCTCTGTCACGTCGAGACAGCTCTTTTATCTTTGCTCGGTGCTTTTCAGAATTCAGTTACAGTGACGGAAAAAAGTATTTGTTCCCCTGCTGATTTTGTACGTTTGCCCACTGACAAAGAAATGATCAGTCTATAATTTTAATGGTAGGTTTATTTGAACAGTGAGAGACAGAATAACAACAACAAAAATCCAGAAAAACCCCATGTGAAAAATGTTATAAATTTATTTGCATTTTAATGAGGGAAATAAGTATTTGACCCCCCTACAAAACATGACTTAGTACTTGGTGGCAAAACCCTTGTTGGCAATCACAGAGGTCAGACGTTTCTTGTAGTTGGCCACCAGGTTTGCACACATCTCAAGAGGGATTTTGTCCCACTCCTCTTTGCAGATCTTCTCCAAGTCATTAAGGTTTCGAGGCTGACGTTTGGCAACTCGAACCTTCAGCTCCATTCACAGATGTTCTATGGGATTAAGGTCTGGAGACTGGCTAGGCCACTCCAGGACCTTAATGTGCTTCTTCTTGAGCCACTCCTTTGTTGCCTTGGCCGTGTGTTTTGGGTCATTGTCATGCTGGAATACCCATCCACGACCCATTTTCAATGCCCTGGCTGAGGGAAGGAGGTTCTCACCCAAGATTTGACGGTACATGGCCCCGTCCATCGTCCCTTTGATGCGGTGAAGTTGTCCTGTCCCCTTAGCAGAAAAACACCCCCAAAGCATAATGTTTCCACCTCCATGTTTGACGGTGGGGATGGTGTTCTTGGGGTCATAGGCAGCATTCCTCCTCCTCCAAACACGGCGAGTTGAGTTGATGCCAAAGAGCTCCATTTTGGTCTCATGTGACCACAACACTTTCACCCAGTTGTCCTCTGAATCATTTAGATGTTCATTGGCAAACTTCAGACGGGCATGTATATGTGCTTACTTGAGCAGGGGGACCTTGCGGGCACTGCAGGATTTCAGTCCTTCACGGCATAGTGTGTTACCAATTGTTTTCTTGGTGGCTATGGTCCCAGCTGCCTTGAGATTATTGACAAAATCCTCCCGTGTAGTTCTGGGCTGATTCCTCACCGTTCTCATGATCATTGCAACTCCATGAGGTGAGATTTTGCATGGAGCCCCAAGCCGAGGGAGATTGACAGTTCTTTTGTGTTTCTTCCATTTGCGAATAATCGCACCAGCTGTTGTCACTTCTCACCAAGCTGCTTGGCAATGGTCTTGTAGCCCATTCCAGCCTTGTGTAGGTCTACAATCTTGTCCCTGACATCCTTGGAGAGCTCTTTGGTCTTGGCCATGGTGGAGAGTTTGGAATCTGATTGATTGCTTCTGTGGACAGGTGTCTTTTATATAGGTAACAAGCTGAGATTAGGAGCACTCCCTTTAAGAGTGTGCTCCTAATCTCAGCTCGTTATCTGTATAAAAGACACCTGGGAGCCAAAAATCTTTTAGATTGAGAGGGGGTCAAATACTTATTTCCCTCATTAAAATGCAAATCAATTTATAAATTTTTTGACATGCGTTTTTCTGGATTTTGTTGTTGTTATTCTGTCTCTCACTGTTCAAATAAACCTACCATTAAAATTATAGACTGGTCATTTATTTGTCAATGGGCAAACGTACAAAATCAGCAGGGGATCAAATACTTTTTTCCCTCACTGTAGGAAGGCCCCGAAGCGCTACGAGCCGGAGTGAAATTCCTCGGGGATTTTTAGGAATTGATGGGATTGCCCGTGGCTTCCCGAGCCAAGCCAGATTATAAAACAGGAATTAAATATGCTGTTGAACTGTGCATGCGTGTACACGCACAGCCCCGTTGGACAATCCACTGCTGGATGAGGGCCTCCCCACACGGATCGGGTCATGGGGGGTTATTTTGCCATACTTCACCATGCTTGGTCAGTGCAGGTTGGTGAAGGTGTAAAGCATAGAAGTGCAGCATTTAAGGTCGAGTACAACGATTACATTTGCTGCACTACCCTCCTCTGCTCACAACATAGACCCTGCAACCTATAACACCTGTTATGCATGGTGGTCGCCCATCAAACAGAGGCTTGTCTATATTTGAAGTCTGAAATCGAATCTCATCCATTTTTCAATTACGAGTATATCGCATTGGCGGTCTGGTGGTATTATCCACTTATTTCAGAACTTATTCCAGTGCAGCATTATTCGCCATCATACCAAGCAGAAATGCATTTAGATTAATTACCATTTGTTAGCATTTCTTTATTTGTTTATCTGACGGACAATTAAAAACCATCAGTGGTTTCAGGTGCCGGCTTGAGGATCAGGCAGGTTGGGCGATTCCAATTCCTCCCCCACCCCCAACCCCCTTGTCGGTCTCTTGAGTGATTTAAGTAATTTAAATGAGCGTTCCATACAATTGTAAAGGCATCTACGGGGCAGTGGGGAAAGAGGGAGTGCTGATCGCTCCTTCAGCCGATGAACCCCCCCCCCGCCCCACCGCGTGCTGACGTCGCGCGGAGAGCACTGCAGTGTAAACCAGATTTAAGACTCCGCAAAAGACACTACAATAACACAGCTATCCATTTTTAAATCGATACGGGCCCGCTTAAGTGGTACATCTTGCCGCGTGGGTAAGTAACGGCAACAACAACAACAAAAAAAACGGGCACGAGAAAGGTGGATATCTGGTGCAATACGACACGAGCATGATGCAGCCCATGTTCTTAGCATCTCAGTCTCGGGCCACTTCCTCGCCCCTCGCCCCACCCTCCCCAGCCGCTCCAGTAGAGCAAACGCGTGAAAGCAATAGCTTCACCTTCCTCGCGTGCGCGTCTCCCTCTGCCCGGAGGCGAGGCCGCGGCGTACTGTGCCACCCCGTGTTTGACCACCGCGTCAAACAGAACAGCGTTGAGGCACGTGAAACAACGTTGCCTCCATTGCTGACGGTGGCCCGGGTTCAAAGCAAAAACCGGGGTTTTGCTGCAGGTCAGCAGGTGGCCTCTAACCTCTCAGTACATCGAGGATCGCACGGCAATGAATGCCGGCCCACTGCACAAGGACGTTGAATCGTCACAACGGGCAGTGTCGGCGCACGCCCGAGATCCAGCACCGCGGAGGCGAGGGTTGGTCGATCACGCAAAATTTGCGAGGCTCCCTTTCTGTGGGCATTGAGGTGCCAAACTCTGGCTTGCCCGGAAAAGGCGGGCACGTGCATGTCTTAAATCGAATCGGTAGCCGCCACATCACAGGGATGTGTTGAGCAATCATCAGGCACGTCCAGTGTGCAACGATATTAAGTCAGGGATAGCGGCCAACAATTGAAGAGTCTAGCGGCTCTTCCGCACTCATTACACACAGAGTGCTTGCCGCACATGAACCACGATGCCTTGCTTATCTCGTCAAGGAGCATACTTCGCATCGCGTGCTTTCAGGTGCACTTCTGAGGCCGTCTGCAACGCTTTTCCTTGCGATATTAGGAAGTCACCGGAGCTATGCACTTGTACATCATCCAGATTGAAAACTAATTTCTTTACAACTGATTTTTGCGTTTAATTTGTTGTCCTTCGCCCCCACACCTACGATTAGCACAGTTGGCTACGTACGGTGCGAAAGAAGTTCAACGTACATACAGTGAGGGAAAAAAGTATTTGATCCCCTGCTGATTTTGTACGTTTGGCCACTGACAAAGAAATGATCAGTCTATAATTTTCATGGTAGGTTTATTTGAACAGTGAGAGACAGAATAACAACAACAAAATCCAGAAAAACGCATGTCAAAAATTTTATAAATTGATTTGCATTTTAATGAGGGAAATAAGTATTTGACCCCCTCTCAATCAGAAAGATTTCTGGCTCCCAGGTGTCTTTTTTACAGGTAACGAGCTGAGATTAGGAGCACACTCTTAAAGGGAGTGCTCCCAATCTCAGCTTGTTACCTGTATAGAAGACACTTGTCCATGGAAGCAATCAATCAATCAGATTCCAAACTCTCCACCATGGCCAAGAACAAAGAGCTCTCCAAGGATGTCAGGTACAAGATTGTAGACCTACACAAGGCTGGAATGGGCTACAAGACCATTGCCAAGCAGCTTGGTGAGAAGGTGACAACAGTTGGAAGAAACACAAAAGAACTGTCAATCTCCCTCGGCCTGGGGCTCCATGCAAGATCTCACCTCGTGGAGTTGCAATGATCATGAGAACGGTGAGGAATCAGCCCAGAACTACACGGGGGGATCTTGTCAATGATCTCAAGGCAGCTGGGACCATAGTCACCAAGGAAACAATTGGTAACACACTACGCCGTGAAGGACTGAAATCCTGCAGTGCCCGCAAGGTCCCCCTGCTCAAGAAAGCACATATACATGCCCGTCTGAGGTTTGCCAATGAACATCTGAATGATTCAGAGGACAACTGGGTGAAAGTGTTGTGGTCAGATGAGACCAAAATGGAGCTCTTTGGCATCAACTCAACTCGCCGTGTTTGGAGGAGGAGGAATGCTGCCTATAACCCCAAGAACACCATCCCCACCGTCACACATGGAGGTGGAAACGTTTTGCTTTAGGGGTGTTTTTCTGCTAAGGGGACAGGACAACTTCACCGCATCAAAGGGACGATGGACGGGGCCATGTACCGTCAAATCTTGGGTGAGAACCTCCTTACCTCAGCCAGGGCATTGAAAATGGGTCGTGGATGGGTATTCCAGCATGACAATGACCCAAAACACACGGCCAAGGCAACAAAGGAGTGGCTCAAGAAGAAGCACATTAAGGTCCTGGAGTGGCCTAGCCAGTCTCCAGACCTTAATTCAATAGAAAATCTGTGGAGGGAGCTGAAAGTTCGAGTTGCCAAACGTCAGCCTCAAAACCTTAATAACTTGGAGAAGATCTGCAAAGAGGAGTGGGAAAAAAATCCCTCCTGAGATGTGTGCAAACCTGGTGGCCAACTACAAGAAACGTCTGACCTCTGTGATTGCCAACAAGGGTTTTGCCACCAAGTACTAAGTCATGTTTTGCAGAGGGGTCAAATACTTATTTCCCTCATTAAAATGCAAATCCATTTATAACATTTTTGACATGCGTTTTTCTGGATTTTGTTGTTGTTATTCTGTCTCTCACTGTTCAAATAAACCTACCATTAAAATTATAGACTGATCATTTCTTTGTCAGTGTGCAAACGTACAAAATCAGCAGGGGATCAAATACTTTTTTCCCTCACTGTACACGCACACGTACGTACGTTGCGACTGGAAACAAGCTGTGCCGGCCCGGCACGGTTCGCGTTCCGACATTATAAAGGGGCCGTGAGAACGCAGCAGCGTTGAGACGGGACTGACTCTGACCCGTGCTATTGTGCCGCCGTCCACGCTGCGCTTGCGACGACAGGCGGCAACCGCGACATCGTGTACCGCGAGTGGTACAAGCCGCTCGTGTGGTTCTGGATCCTCCTGGGCATGGCCTACTTTGCCGCTATCCTCAGCATGATCGGGGACTGGCTGCGCAAGCTGTCGGAGAAGACGCGCAACGAGGTTCGTGTGCGGGCCCCCCTCCACCCCGTTCCACATTCTCCGCACACCCGTCCTTCATTCGGGGTGAACCCCTGCAGACGCTAGAGGCCGCTGCATTCCCCACCGCTGTGAAAGACGAACAATGCGCGCGAGTCGAAATCGCGGACTCTGAATAGTCATGGATTCGCCAAGGGGTGGTGTTGGGGGGGGGTTACGTACCGTCACACCCCAAATTTTTAGCAAAATTAAATCGATCGTGCATTGTATTTTTGTAACAAAAAAAACTACATAGAGTTTATATTTACAAAACCCATTACTTAACGAGGTTATTCATATACAGCATGACCACAGTATTACATTTTCCCCCCTCCCCCCCACCAGTATTCTACCATCACGTCTTATAAATATTAAACATTTCCAAAAATACAAGATTTTTTCTGACACTCCCGTCTGCAGCAAAGCAATCACCCTAAGTGGTGCGCCGCTGTAAATTCACGACTGGCTCACACAGACCAGCGGCCTGCCACGCTGCCTCGTGTCAGCGAGAACGCGTGCAGGCATTTCGCAGACCGAGTGCCCTGGCCGAGTGGCGTGACGCCCCAATATATTTTCGGTCCTTGTGCATTCGCAACATCAAAGCTGCTCTTTTGGTGAGAGGGGCAGGGCAGTGCAAATATCTCTCCCCCCGGGGTGGGGGGTGGGGGAGGTAATTATTGACCTTGCTCGCTGCACTGGCATCGGTGTCTTGACTCTGCTGTGTGCGACGGTTGTTTGCGTGCTGCGTGGGCATTACCGCATTTGGAGCAAGATATTGGTCGTGAAATCCTACGTGTTAAACTGACATATACATTGCTAGCCATACAAATCTCTTTTTTTTCCCGAGTATTGTTTCATCGAATAAATGGCTCTGTACAGTCCTTTAACACGGTAAGCTATTGCATATTTAAAATTTATTTTACCAGGTAAGGCCCACTGAGTTATGTAGCTCTTGTTCAGGCGTGACCTGGCCACAAATAACAACTCAACGAGGTGGCTTACCACGTGGAAATTTATAGCAGCCAAAATACTCCAATCACGCGTTGATTCCAAATGTGGAAGGAAAAACAGGAGAAAAATCCACGCGACCAGCAAATGTACAGGCTTTAGGGTCGGCATTGAACCCACGACCTCCTGTATACCGGGTGAGGTAGTTAACATCTCACCACCATTTCGCCCTATCAGTCAGATGCTGCATGAACGTCACCCCATGGTGTGTCGGCCGTGGAGGTTGGAAAGCCATATCAGTCAATACTGATGTTAGCCGTGACCGAGAGTTGTACTCCGGTCGCTAACCACCGCTCCACCGAATGGCTCTTATTCTAAAAGGTTAGGAAAAATTTGTATTTACGCGTGGATTATGTTATCGGTAGCTGGCAGGACAAAATACGTTAAACATTTTTTATCAAATAGGCCCTTTTTTCTGGTTTTGGGCAACCCAATTGTCAATAGGGTAAGGTCCTAATGAAAAGACAACTTCCTTCAAAATTTTCATTCATTTTTGATATTCTTTCCTCCGACAGACAGAACAGATATGCATAACCACTTTCAACATAAGCTGTAAAGTTTCAGAGAGTGAACTGAAATTTCCGCGAGTAGCGGTCCTCTCGGTGAATCCGTTGGTCGTGCCGCCCCACCCCCCACCAACTCCCTGTGTTCCTCGGGTTTCCTGTCATCCCTGCGCAGATGGGCGGCATCACGGCGCATGCCTCCCAGTGGACGGCCGATTTCAAGGAGTCGGGAAGCCGCTTCACGGGCGGCATTCACGACAAGCTGAAGGCGGCCAGCACCGCGCTGCCTGGCCAGCGAATGCCGGGCTCCTTCAAGCGCAAGCCGAATGGCGCCGGCGCCGCGGACGGCGATCAGCCCGATCAGCTCAGTGGCGGCGAACAGTTTGGCGGCGAGGGCGCCACTTCTCCTCCTCCTCCTCCTCACCCGCCTTTTCCAAATGAGAACGGCCTGCCGGACGACACGGCCCAAGCTGTCACGGGCCCGGCGTTCCGGCCCGGCTGGCAGAGTCCAGACTCGCCGGACGACGCCGGTGCAAAAATGCTCACCAAGGCGCTCGGCCGGAAGACGTCGACTAAGAACCCGGCGGCTCACGTCGGCAACGATGCCGTGGAGCGAGAGTCGCCCGTGCGCAAGCCACCGTTCGCGCTTCCCGAGCCGGACCTGGACGACGCAACGCAGACCCCGGCGCTCGAGAGGGCCACCCGGAAGGGGACGCGGGTCAGGGCCGGCTTTGCGGACGACGAGAAGGAACCGAGAGCCACGGCTGTGTGAAATGTACTTTGTAGACAGCGGCGTGTGTGTTCGCTGTCACTCACTCCCTCTTATTTTCCACTGCACACCCAAACAGGCGACGCGGCCGTGCCAGGCCACGGGCTGGCTGGGGAGCGGCCAGGTTTGTTTTCCACTGCAGAAGCTGAGCCGTGCCACTGTCATTACACGCGGTTATTGAGTCGAGACGATATGTGGATGACGCGGCGATGCTGCAATTGAGCCCCTACTGATTGACGTCGCACGCGATGAATGCGTCATTATCTCTGGCCCTGCTTGGGCCCGGGCCAGATTCGTGTCTTGCGAGGCCAGCGAATGTCACGATTTGATTCCGGCTCGGCACGCCAAATAACCGGTGGACGAACAGTAAACCACGCGTACAATCAGGGCACCGCGGCCGCCACGGCTCGCACGTGCCAGTGGGGAAAAATGGGTACGAGTGACGTGATTTATTAAGAGTGAGTGGTGTCTCTTTGAGGCCGAGTGCGACGCATGCTGGCGCATTGCATGGTGCCCATTACGACGTGGTGCTTGCTGCGACGGCCAAGCGCGGCTCCGCTACCTTTCCGAGAGGTGCGCAAACCCTTCCGGACAGCCGCTGTGCGCAAGTTTTGCGCCTCGGTTTTGACCTTCCTGCGAAGGTCAAACTTTGTTTACTCATTTCAAGAAGTTAGGAAGTGATCGTTGCACCGCACGGACCTGTTCGTCAGCTGGGTGCTGATGGTGAATGATGGAGGAACTGCGGTTTTCAGTCGCAGTTTTCAGTTGTCCCTTGAAAAAGAGATGCATTCCCAATTGCCTCCCAAATTGGTTTCAAAATACATTGCTCGATGTAAGGTGCTTTGTTCCAAGTATTATCTGGGGTAATGGGAGGGAGAGGATAGCCTGGATAATGGCAAAAACACGAAATAATGCAAAACATTTGATAGTTAGGCTGTAAAAAAAATTGTTGTTTATCGACGTAGAATGAGGGGTGAAGACGTAGGACACTTCACCTGTTTTTATTGCTCATTACAGGACGCAAATTCCCCGTTTAACGCGGCAGTATGAGCGTTCCTGAAAAATCACCGCATTAAGCAAAAGGACACGTGGAACAAAAGAATATTTCCTCATAAGAAATCCCGTAAAAGATGGGGTTTGCGAGATGCGATGTACGCACACGCAGGAAGACGGCGGGGCAAAAGAAGTGAGTTGAGGGTACGCCGCGTGCTGCATCATTCCGCGTGCATACCCAGAATTCCCACACCCCACAGCCGCGCAGCTCAAGAAAGTAGTTCGTCGTTGGCCGCTCAGAAACGCGTTATAACGGTGCGCATTCCTCATTGCGCGATAATAATAATAATAACTAATTCAAATTTGCAACGCGCATTTCATCCTGGGATCCCAATGCGCGACGTGTTCCCAAATAGAAGAACCGCGTCATACCCGAAAACACTTTGAGTGAAAACTCGTGAAACGAGGAACTTACTGGAATCGGTTTACTTCTTCACGTGCTTGCATTCATGTGTGCAGCAAGACACTGACCCTCGACGAGCAAAGAGCAGCAAACACTTAAATGAGTGTGAGCGTAAAGGTGTTTTTTTTGTAAATTTTTCACGCACACACACACACAGACGTTTGATCCGCGACCCGGATTATGTGCCCATAGATTACCAAGAGGAGAACTCCTCTGATCCGCAGTGATGTGGGCCACGAACCCTGAGGATCCTTATCATCCCCGGGAAAAGAATCGTGGATAATTTTCGGACAATAGGATGCATTTCCCATTCAAGCACCTTTTATCCACGGTGAATAGAAGAGCATACCGGGGGAACAGGGCCTGTGAAATCAGGATGAGAAAATCCACGAATCATAAGAAAAATAGGGTTGCGGATATGAGGAGGTATCCTGTAGTTAGATTGTATGAGCGGTGGAACAGCAGCAATCGGGAGGCTTGGAAGGTTTGCGGTTCTTGGAAGGAACGGGGTCATGTCGACCGGCACATTATCCTCTATAAATATCACCTTGCACGAAGGGATCATTGAACGCCATCGACATTTTCATGCGTGTGCGAGCGTTGCGCTAGCAGGGAGAATAGTGAAGCCGAACGTTAAGCTTTAATAAAAACAAATTAATACCAAAAGCTCGATTGTTTTCTTCTTCAAGAATCGACATTTTTACGTGCTCTATCTGGGGAGAAGAGGCGGAGGGGAGGGAGATCATTAAGATTCGTACCCTATGGATGCTATGGAAAATTATGATAAAGTGGAACGATCCCGAAGTGACGTAGCTTGATACTTTTCACCCATGGGCAGTTACACCAATTGGGATATACGTATCGAACACTTTATGGATGCGGGCAATCTTTGGTCTAATCATGGAGTGGCTTTTTACTCGGGTATAATACACCAAGTCGGACTCTAATTCCATAATTCCTTTCTCGGTGGACACTTTGTGCTCATAAAGAGACTGTGCTGTCAGACTTACTCAGACGAACCGAATGTTTAGAGCACGCTGGGATTGGTAATGCTGCATACAGTTCCGTGTATGTGTCGAATCATTGACTAATCCATTAAATAATCTACAGTATCTAAATCTATTGATAAACTACCTTCAGAATGACACCCTGTATGTATTGCTGTATTCTCCGGAGGATGATATGCAATTTTGCCCCTGTGTAATGAAGGAAATTTGGGTGTTGTGTCAGATTTGGGCATATGTATGTATGGACTTCTTTTGCACCGTACGTAGCCAACCATGTGTGACCACATCTGTGTAACTTTATCGACACCGGGCACAAGTTTGGAGTGCATCTTACTTTCCGGAGCATCTTATAATCCGGAGAATACGGTATTAGGATAAATGTTGCACGTTCGGCTGTGAGGTCACCTGAGATGTGGAACTACCCCCTCTGTAGTGCTACGCGTTATTGCACTATTCAGCCTCTCTTGTTATTCGCTCATAAATGTTTTTTAAAATAATTTGTTTTCAATGAACTGATGTACATTGTTGCTCGTGTTATTGTTGCAATGTTATATTGCTGCACAATAATTGTATCTTACGACGCTGTGATTAAAACGCACAGATGTGAAAAGACTGTGGTTTTTAAGGGTGGATTTTTTTTAAAGTCATCATCACACATGGAGCCTTCATTCGTGGAATGATGCCTCAATCATCCTTTTATTCAGAAAGAGTGAAAAATCAACTTGAAGAACGACAGGGCCCATGAAATGAAATAATTGTTGATACTTTATTGACAGTGGTGCATAAGCACACTTAACAAACACAACTCAACACACTCTTTGTTTTTTTAGGTAAAGTCACGTATGTAAAATAAAATACAATTAAAATTTTTTACCTACGTGACTTTACCGAAAAAACCAAAGAGTATGAATCCTTGCAGTCACGAAAGCTTAAAATCTAGAAACAACTCAACACATTAATCAATAAAACGGTTGTGACCTTTAATGAAGATAAATATGATCAGCAACGTTTTGGGAAGTGGAAATGATCCGTTTGATATGTTATGAAGAAGGGCTATTGCCTTAAACGTTGCTGGTTATATTAATTTTGCATATACAGTGAGGGAAAAAAGTACTTGATCCCCTGCTGATTTTGCACGTTTGCACACTGACAAAGAAATGATCAGTCTATAATTTTAATGGTAGGTTTATTTGAACAGTTGAGAGACAGAATAATAACAAAAACATCCAGAAAAACGCATGTCAAAAATGTAATAAATTGATTTGCATTTTAACGAGGGAAATAAGTATTTGACCCCTCTGCAAAACATGACTTAGTACTTGGTGGCAAAACCCTTGTTGGCAATCACAGAGGTCAGACGTTTCTTGTAGTTGGTCACCAGGTTTGCACACATCTCAGGAGGGATTTTGTCCCACTCCTCTTTGCAGATCTTCTCCAAGTTATTAAGGTTTCGAGGCTGACGTCTCGCAACTCGAACCTTCAGCTCCCTCCACAGATTTTCTATGGGATTAAGGTCTGGAGACTGGCTAGGCCACTCCAGGACCTTAATGTGCTTCTTCTTGAGCCACTCCTTTGTTGCCTTGGCCGTGTGTTTTGGGTCATTGTCATGCTGGAATATCCATCCACAACCCATTTTCAATGCCCTGGCTGAGGGAAGGAGGTTCTCACCCAAGATTTGACGGTACATGGCCCCGTCCATCGTCCCTTTGATGCAGTGAAGTTGTCCTGTCCCCTTACAGAAAAACACCCCCAAAGCATAATGTTTCCACCTCCATGTGTGACGGTGGGGATGGTGTTCTTGGGGTCATAGGCAGCATTCATCCTCCTCCAAACAGCGAGTTGAGTTGATGCCAAAGAGCTCAATTTTGGTCTCATCTGACCACAACACTTTCACCCAGTTGTCCTCTGAATCATTCAGATGTTCATTGGCAAACTTCAGACGGGCATGTATATGTGCTTTCTTGAGCAGGGGGACCTTGCGGGCGCTGCAGGATTTCAGTCCTTCACGGCGTAGTGTGTTACCAATTGTTTTCTTGGTGACTATGGTCCCAGCTGCCTTGAGATCATTGACAAGATCCTCCCGTGTAGTTCTGGGCTGATTCTTCACCGTTCTCATGATCATTGCAACTCGACGAGGTGAGATCTTGCATGGAGCCCCAGGCCGAGGGAGATTGACAGTTACTTTGTGTTTCTTCCATTTGCGAATAATCGCACCAACTGTTGTCACCTTCTCACCAAGCTGCTTGGCAATGGTCTTGTAGCCCATTCCAGCATTGTGTAGGTCTACAATCTTGTCCCTGACATCCTTGGAGAACTCTTTGGTCTTGGCCATGGTGGAGAGTTTGGAATCTGATTGATTGATTGCTTCTGTGGACAGGTAACAAGCTGAGATTAGGAGCATTCCCTTTAAGAGTGTGCTCCTAATCTCAGCTCGTTACCTGTATAAAAGACACCTGGGAGCCAGAAATCTTTCTGATTGAGAGGGGGTCAAATACTTATTTCCCTCATTAAAATGCAAATCAATTTATAACATTTTTGACATGCATTTTTCTGGATTTTTTTGTTATTATTCTGTCTCTCACTGTTCAAATAAACCTACCATTAAAATTATAGACTGATCATTTCTTTGTCAGTGGGCAAACGTACAAAATCAGTAGGGGACCAAATACTTTTTTCCCTCACTGTATATGTTGAACTTCTTTCACACCGTACGTAGCCAACCGTGCTAATCGGAGGGCACAGAGTATTATTGACGAATGTGTTGATTTTTTTTACATATCCGTTAGCCTATCGCACTTAAATGAATTCTTCAGGAAGATTCGTGCCAACATAAGCTCTCTTTCTCGACGTGGCCACGCCCTTTCTCAAAGACGCTGGGGGCCGTGGCCTTCTGTTAAACTCTGCCCATGACATTCTTACTCAAGAACTTTGCATCAGATACTCCCAGTTACTTCCAACTAGGGGACAGCACATTAAATAAATTAGAGACAGGATTTGGGAAAAGTTTCTCTACGATCGAACGCTTGCAGACTGTTTATTAGATTATGGATATGGCCATTGAATTTCATATACCATTAAGTAGGGCTTTTTTTTAAACCAGAATTGCTGCACAAACAAGCGAGCTCTCCACACTGGCGTCTAAGCAATCCATTAGCTGCCCGTCTTAGTTAATTTGTTATTCAATGCGCATTTGAGTTTATTTGATTTTTTGTGAACATTGTGTCATTTCTAATGTAAAACTTGGCCAGATATCAACTCGTGCTCAAATAAACGAGGAAGACGAAAGAAATGCCCCAACATTGAACAGTAAAGTGCAAGGTCGCATATCCGACCGGCTGAGGACTGAACAGGTATATAGGTGAATATGTGAACGGATCGGATATGTGAACGTCTCCATAACATTGCGGTTACAACACTGTGCACGAATACTGCACAGAGTGTGAGCGCCTGACGGATCAAGGCAGATATATGACGGTCGCATATGTGACGTTGTTACGGT